ATTCCCTTGTTGGAAATGCCATCCCTTAAAGCATCTTTTTCCGCAAATCACATCTCAGAGAATCCCTTATTACAAAAGCAAGTGAAATCCATAACCATGTCAGCTTTGCTTCTCATCTGAAAATAAGGGGAATAATAAAGACAACCTTTCCAGAGCTGGATCAGCCTAATATAAACTGAAAGGAACTGTAAAACTAATATAAGACATTTTGGGGCAGGGAGACCAAAAAAAGACCCGTGAGAATGATGAGAATGACTAGTAGATGCTCAGATCCAAGCAGTGACTACTACACATCAATGTTTCTACTTTGCCTTTGACAAGGTGTAAGGGAGAAAGAGATTGTCTCCACCTTCTTCTTTTAACCGATGCCATTGAAAACCAAGTTTTGTTCTACTGTACAGAAAGTCTGGTAGAAGAATCTTACTCTCTTCAGATGGTGCTAGAGAAAACAAAATCCAGACACATCGAAGCAGAAAGATGAGACACTAAAGAAAAAAACAAAACTAAACAAAGAAACCTCTGTAGGCTTAAGAGGAAGCAGGTGCTGAGTAAAAGAATTTTTAGATTGGGACAAAAGAAACAGCTATAGGGGGTAAAGGGAAGTTGGTTCTTTCTATTTCCAGAGAAAATGGGAAATTGTTTAGTTAAATATTAAGTCTCTATCAGTGCAGAACTAGATCTACCAGTCTAGTATTACTCTTTAAATTTATGTTCCTCAAGTGTTTTGGCATGGATATTTTCCACTTTCACCTTACGTATTAACTGTGTATCTAAAACCAATGTCTGTAAAAATAAACCAGACTAGGGAATACAATGGCTTTATAAAAGAAATCACTTTCCTATGACACTGAAAATGTTATTTATAAAAGTGTTTTTATAGAAACTTTCAGGAGCACAATTATTATAGAAAGTGAATATTTCTGGGCTCAGCCATCCAGAAACTAGTCAAAATATATAACATAATGTTGTTCAAAGAAGTTGCACATTTATATCAAAAATGCCTTTATACATTTTTTAAAAATTTACTGTTCATGGATTAGGTTTTACCTAAAATCATATTATTTACAGTTGTATTCATTCCACTGATACTGACACATAAACCATCTTGCTCTTTATAAATCAAGTCAGCACTATTGCAGGATTTTTGCTTTTGTTTTTGTTTTTAGTTTTTGGTATTTTTGAGATAGCATCTCATTATGCAGTTCAGATTGGCCTTGAACTCACTATGCGGCCCTAGCTGGCCTTAAACTCATGGCAATCATCCTGTCTCAGCCTCCCAAGTGCTAGAATTACAGGCCTGTGCCACCATGCCTGGCATAAAACCCAGATTCTTTAGATCACAGATGGATTGGCTTCATCTTCTAACAATCCAGTGACCTGTAGCAGAGATTCCCCAGATGGTATCAATCAAATGACCAACTGTCCAGGTTTGCCTAAGACTGAGGTATTTCTTAAGGTGTACTATTCTTCAGTGCTTAACTCAGTTCTCAGGCAAATCTAGATATGTCAGTCACCCTAAGACTTCAGGGAAAGTTGAAATCAGTAAATCATGCAAGTATTATAAACACATGCTTGCCCGTCTTTCTCTCTCTCCTTTCCCATCCTGTCTCACTGGTTCAGGGCAGCTTTCCAACCTGCTGACTAAGAACCAGACTGGCTTTCAAATAGGTAGGGACATACGGCTCAGCTTTGCCACGACTTTTTTTGCTTTTAATCTTGAATGATTGACTTCTCCAGTCTCATTTCCTTATTTGTGAAGTGCTGGAAACTATCACAGTGCAATGATTGAGAACATGCATGTAAAGTATTCACCACCGTGCTGGCCACATGTGTCCATTGCTACCCATGGGAGCCCTGTGGTCGCTAGCATCTCACCATTATGAATATTGCAGACTTCCCATGTTCCACTGCAGGAACTCTGATGTCTGCCTATGCTACACACCAGGGGCATCAAATCACAGTTCATTCACTGAGTTGTGCAAAGATCAAGCCTTAGCCTTCAGTAGTGTTAAGATAAGACGTGGGTATAACTGAAGCAACAACACCTTGTTCACTCAGAGCTTTTTCCACTTTTTCATCGAGCCTTTTCAACTAAAGATTTTGCACTATTGCTCACATATGTACAACATACACACAAACACAGACAAACAAAGACACTCATCACATGAACACACACAGGTCATTATATTATTGAGTTGATAAGCACATTTTTCCCTTTATTTCTTGACTATTTAGGAAATACAAGAAAAATAATGTGGCTCTGAAGAGGGGAATTAAGGAGACAGAACCAGGCACAGGGAATGTAGCTCAGTGACACAGTGCCTGCCTGGCAAGCAGTAGGTCCTGAGTTTGATTCCCAATATCAGGAAAGAAAAAAAAAAAAAAAAACGAGACAGAGCCAGTGAACAGAGGACAAGGGGAAGACTAGGGAACAGAATGTGCAGACAGTAAGGTTTTTGCCACAGAGTTACTGCTAAAAGCAGCTAGAAGTCTCACATCTCCCACACGTGTGACCTCCTGGCAATTCCCCTGGGGAGTCCCGCCTCAGAAAACCTTTAGCCCCAGAATCAAGAGGAAGCTGAGCTTGGTAAATTTCCAAACACAGGGCCAGGTGAGTGACCAAACGCCTGGAAAGACGGGCCTGGTCAAGTCTCTAAATGGGCCTCCCCTTCCTGCCCTGGCAGCCACAAAGAAGAGCTGAGCCAAGAGGTGGGAGAGATGAGGCCAGAGAGGGTTGCCGGCATTTCCTTTTGTCTCTCAGCTTCTGTGTTTGAAATGAAGGAATCTGAGGCCTTCTGTGACCGCTCCTGTCTGGGATTCTTTCCTCAAGAGGTGTTCTTAATTTGTGAAGACTGCCAGGAAACTGCGTGAGTCATGGCTTCTGAGCAGACAGCATTCAGCTTTAGAAATTCCCAGAGATATGACTTGTTTATAGGAAAGGAAACAGAGCTATTCTGAGCTGCCAGGGGAAGAGGAAAGCACTGCTCTTTTTTTTTTTTTTTTTAATTCTGTGTTGAAAGGTCATTCACGCGGCCCAAGCGGCAACAAGAACCCAGTGTAGACACCCATGTTAGTAGTTCCTTTGTCTAGATTTTAGAGGATATTTTGGGGATTGGCGTTTTAAAAATGCAAGTCCCACAATTTTGAAATTCCACTCTCAGTCCTCAGTCCAAACACGTAACAAACTTCGAGTGGGAGCCGGTGGAGCTGGGGCTGAGAGAGTGGGAGGCAAAAAAGCACCTCCTCTGACAACTTTCTAATTTTCCATTTGTGAGCAGGCCCCTGTTTATTATCCCTCCCATCTGGGCTGCCTTCTCCAATGTCTTTTCTTCATCGTGTTAACAACCATGATGTTCAGAGCCACCAAGTTTGGAGAATGTGCCTATGGAGGGAAAGACAGAGGATCCCCAGTCCTGCAACCCTTGCTTCTGCATTGCCCCACTTTCTTGGGAGTTAAACGTGGTTCAGACTCATAAAGTCACAGTGTACTCGTGTGTCATAGTCAGCAGACCCAGTCACCTGACCCCAGAGATTGACTTCCAAGGAGAACATAGTCTGCTGAGGATTCACAGATTCCACAATAATTAACCTGTGTGATAATTTCATAGCTACCACATCTGATAAAAGCGACACCTTTTTCTAATTATAAACATTTCAATAGATATAAAAGTTTACCCCTTTAATGTGCTAAAGATGTTCTTTGCTTAAAATAAAGCTCATACTTAATAGGCAACCAAACATTCAAACACAGAAATAAACACAAAATGTCTTTTGGTATCATTATGGCTTTAGATTCTGTGACTAATGCAATAAGTTGTGAAACAAAAAGGACACATTTTGTGAGCTAAGGTGCTAAAGTAGCTGAATGTCACACAATGTATACCATAAAAACTGAGTGAGCTAAGAGATGTCTCTATTGGTAAAGACTAATAAAGTGGCTTGAAATAACTTAAATATGTAAAAAACAAATACCCAGATAGCACAATTTAGAAAGAGAAGCCATTCAGATGCAACAAATTAAAAATACCTACTGTTATGGTTTATGTCTGTGTGTCCCCCCAAAGCCTCCTGCGGATATGGGGCAGGCTATTAGAGTTGAATATGGGTGTGAGAGCTGCACCCGCCCAGTAGTGGATAGTTTGCATATGTAAGGGAGAGGAAGGAGCTGCTTGAGGCTATTCCTCCCCTATTCCGCCCTGGTGTGTGTGCTTGCAGCTGAGCTGTGTTCTGCCGCCCTGAGATGCAGCCCTCTGCCACGTGCCACTCTGCCTTATAATCATGCCTAGTATGGATTGAAACCTCCACAAACTGTAAGCGAAATAAACCTTTCCTTCCTTAATTTTGGGCATCAGGTATTTTGTCCCAGCAGTGAGAGAAAAGTAACCAAGACAATATATATATACAAATTCTGAGGGATCAGTCCTACACACATCAGAGACTCTTACGAAAACTGAAACTGAAAACTTGATATAAATGTAAAAAATATAAACAAAACGGCAACAATCAAATGTCTACAAGTAGACTCTGTTATGCATGTGTCCCATTTTACAGATGGCTTCATAGTTTACAAAGCTTTTCACCTGCATTACCTTTTATGCTTCAGAATCAAGCTATGGAACAATTAGTTTTATTATCTCCATTCTTTTTTATTAAAAAAATGATACCCAGGAATCCATTGACCTGTCCAACATCAGAAAATAAACCCACTCCTCAATCTAGAATTTCTGACTTCCTATTCCTTTCTACAGGTATTCTATTGTTCTCACAACAGTGAATGGGTTTTTTCCCTAACAATGCTGAATCTTTGGAGAAAAAAAATATTTAGACTTGCATCTTACACCATATTGTTTGTTTATTTACAATAAATAAACATAAATATATAGTTGTTTAAAGAAATAAATACTGAAAATCAAATCATAGAAAACCTGGAAAAATAAATATCAATGCAGTGGCACGATGTTGAACTAATACCTCTGAGGTCCCTCACCAAGCCTACTCACCTCCAGGGAAGCTATGATGCGTCTTATTACTCCTCTGCCCCAATTCTGCTATCCTCACACAGCCCAGACAAATTTTCCATTATCATCACTAAGACACTGCAGTCCCCAAAGTGAAATTGAAACACTAGCACAGAGATCCCAACCCTGGGGCCACAGATTAGTACCTGTCCCTAGCCCACTAGGAAATGGGTCACACGGCAGAAGGTGACTCGTGGCAAGAAAGCAAGGCATCATCTGTATTTACAGCTGTCCTCCCTCACTCACTCACATTGCCACCTGAGCTCTGCCTCCTGTCTCATCAGCAGAGGTGTCAGATTTTCACAGGAGCTCCAACCTACTGTGAACTGCACATGTGAGGGATCTAGGCTGGGTGCTTCTTGCAAGAATCTAATGTCATAATAATACTAATGAAATGCACAATAAATGTCATATGCTTGGATTATACCAATATTGTCAACCCTCCCTCATCAGTGGAAAAACTTTCTTTGACAAACTGGTCCCTGGTGGCAAAAAGGCTGGGAACCACAGCTCTGGCAAATTACTCTGCAAGAAATGTTTAGTCAGCTTCTTTCTGGAGAGGGATGGGATGATCAGAGACTAACCACCATGAGCACATAGTTAAGAGAACCAACATCAGAAAGACAATGAGTAGGTGATTAATAGTACCTGCCTACTATGCAGGACCACTACTCTGACACTGTAGAAAGAAGAAGCCATTGAGAAGGAACATAAACAATAGTCTTAAACGAATGAGCATGGCTATGTCTCAATAAAACTTTATTTCCATAAACAGGCAGCAGACAGGCTGTCCTTTGAGGCCCCGTGTGAGGCGGTCCAAATTTGTTTTCCCATGAGATTACCCGAGACACTCCTTTGACAAGAAATCCGAGGTTGTTCTACTTCACTAAATGACATGAAGATAGATACAGGTGTTCTCCTCAGAATATGGCAGAGATAAAATCAGAATTCAGGTCCTGGAGTCCAGAGATGTTAGCTGGACTTTTGTAGATATGAAATCTCAGCAGATAGAAGAGAACCCTTAATAGGTTGAGTCTAATGGAATAAATATTTGCTGCATTGAACCAGGGCAGAATTTTGTGGTATCATTTCATGATGCGAGGGGCTACACCCCTCTCCTCTCTTCCCAGACTAACACAGAGAACAATGGAGCTATGTAGGGGAGGGAGAGAGAGAGTGTGTGTGTGTGTATGTATGTGATGCAGGCAGATTGGTAGCTGTGTATGGAAACCAGGAAATCTCAAAAAATAAAAAGTGATCTAGAGTGATTCATTCAGCTTTTTTGAGTCCAAGTTTCTCTTTGTGTAGAATGGAAATGCCTTTCCTCATCCTTTTCTGTTTTGGCATTTTTTTCTAGGATGTCAGAATTTTTAAAAAGAAGGAAAGAAAGACCACCATATAAAGTTCACTGGGTACCTCAGGGAAATGGGTCATCAAATGACACAGCCTGGTTGTCACCTGATACCACATGATTTCAGCAGGCTGCCACTGTCTGCATTTCCCTTTTGGCAGGGAACTCTGCCACCTTCGTATTTAAAACATCTCTGTTGACGGACCAGCACTATTAAGCTGGTGCTTTGACAACCACATCGACAAGAGACCAGGATATATGACACGTAAAGGTGAAAGGACAGCGGCTAAGGGGAGCAAATGAGCTTTTAAAATGAGCCCAACGCCATCCAGCTAGTTTTCATATTGCCTCCTGCAAAAAATCTTGACATATTGGTACATTGCTGTGAGTTATTTCTTCATATGCTGGTGGATGATGGCCTAATATTACTTGATCTTGTACAGTGCTATCCAGGACTGCAAACTTAGTTTATTTTAAGCTCAGTGACATTTCACCAGCCGTTAACACAGCGTGAGTACCTAAAACTCACTTCAGTACAGTACACAAGGGCCCTAGGATACTGTTGCTTTATTTTTGTTTGAACAGCTAACTCTCTGACTTTAGCTATGGTGAATGGCTTCTGTCTGGACCCAGCTTTGTCTGTTCTCATCTGCCTTTTCATTATTATGTATACTAGTATTTATTTCACTACAAGATTTATTTATCTGTAGTAACAAAAAATTACTTATTATCTTTGCCCAGGTTAGCTACATCTTAAAGGGGAAACCTTTCTCCCAGTTATGCATAGGTAGGGTAGGATGGCAAAGTATGGGGACAGCCACTGAGGGCTCTCTAGGGTTGGTTCCAACCTGGTCACCTGTGTTCTGGGCCTAGAGAATTGGGCTCATATGCAGCTGGGGGGATGGGGATTTAGCTCAGTGGCACAGCGCCTGCCTGGGAAGTGCAAGGTCGTGAGTTCGATTCTTGGTACCTGAAAACAAAAACAAACAAACAAAAAAAAACAATCATATGCAGCTGGGTTCAGAACTGAGTCCCTCGTTGTACCTAGAACTTGACAGTGTTTTCTAGAAATACAGAATCTATTTGATCTTAATCTCAACCCAGCTATTGACATTCTGAATGTTTCTTTTTAGAGCCACAAAATTGACTATTTAATTTCTAGTTGTAGTTTAATTTTGTTTTATTGTAAGCTCTCCTAGTTGACTTTTTGTCCAATCAATAAGATGAGCTACATATTTAATCTGATTCTGTCACTGAGACAGCCAAAAGCACCAATGATTTCTCAATCTACTATGCTTGAGTTCAGTCCATATATAAACTCGGTCCACTTCTGTATATATGAAAGCTTTCTTGTCAAAATATGGGAAAACACTCCACCTAGTTCACAGAATCATTGGAAGAGTTACATAATAAACAAGACTATCATGTATTTGTGATTGGCAACTTAATAAAACAATAAAAACCTATACCTCCAAGATAATAAACACCAGACTTTTTGGGTAGATTGCAGCACTTTTTCAGTGTTGACAAGAATTGATCAGTAAAGATTATATTCATTAATAAGCATAAGTATTGACTTTTGTACTTGTGTACTGATAATTTTTTGGTGATAATTTGGCCTCCATTTTAAAAAGCTTTTCATGGAAGTATAATATATTGGAGCTGGGGATATTCTCAGCGGCACAGTGCCTGCCTGGCAAGCGTGAGGTAGTAAGTTTGATTCCCGGTATGAAAAAAAAAAAGGAAGTATAAAACATTTGCAGAGGGGATGGATGTTACAATGTGATAAACTTCATTCACAGAATGAACACACCTGTGTGACCCACACAGATGAATGAACAGAATGTCTTCAGCATCCCAGAAGCCCCCTTTCCATGTGCCTCATCCCAGTTCCACGCTCCTGCAAAGCAAACCACAACCTTGACTTCTATCACTGGAGATTACTTTTGCATGTTTTTATTATTGTGGAATTGAGCATTATGCCATATTCAGACAGAACTTTCTGAGGCTTTCTTGGACTTACCACAGAAAGGGGTGAGGACTGACTTGAAGAAAGAGACTGGAGGAGGAGGGCAAGTGGAAGAGTCATGTGATTTGTCTTTGAAATTGAGGCACCTTTGAGAGGGAAGAGTGTACTATTCATAACGACACTGAGACAAAAGGCATAAGCAGTGACTGTCCCCAGCAAACCAAGACATATAGTTACCCCGGTAAGACGTGACAGTAGAAGGCAGCAGGGACACATAAGTAGGCAAACACTATCTTAGAGGCCCTGAAATAGAATCATGTTCCCTGAGATATATGTGGGGCTGGGGGCTGGGAGTAGATTTACCAAGAAGTGTGGTCACCAGCAAAACTTAGGTTAAAAAATATTTATTGAGTTCCTGCTAGATGCAAGGCACTCCAGTGGCACAAAGGTACCTCAGCTGCTGTCCCCGCCCACAGTCAGATCATAGCAGCAAGGCTAATTTGCAAACAGCTAATCTTGCCAGGCATAGTGGTGCATGCCTGTAGTCCTAGTACTTGGGAAGCTGAGGCAGGAGGATCATTGTGAGTTCAAGGCCAGCCTGGGCTACAAAGTGAGTTCAAGACCAGCCTGAACTGCATAGTGAGATCTTGTCTCAAAAAGACAAAAAACAAAACAAAACAAAACAAAACGAAAAAACAGATAATCTATAATGTGGCTGTCAATGGAAATATCATACAAAGTACCCCATGAGTTCCAAGGACACACACACAATGTTATATAGATTCCAAGGGTGAGCAGCCACGCCCATCAGGAGACATGGGAAACATCATGTGGAAGGCAGTATTTGGGATGGCCTAGATTCTACTCTGGTGGTTATCAGTCTTCAGGGCATAAATTTTCCAGTACTCAAACAGTGCTCCAGACCAAGTAAACCAGAATGTCTCAGTATGGATCCCAGGCACAACTACTTTAAAAACTGTCCCAGGTAGTGAACAGGCCATGTTGAGGACCACTGCTGTAGAAAGATGAGTAGACTTTAGTTGGCAGGAGAAGTAGAGAGGAGAGGACAGCCGTGAGTTAGTATATTGCATCTCTGGCAGGCCCACTGAGAGGAAGCACCCATTGGGATTAAAGATGGAGGAAAAGCAGCAGAGCAAAAATAATTTAACCCCCTTCAGGAAAAAAATTAATTAATTATGAAACCATTTGCTAAGGCCAATGCCAGGGATGGATGGAGAAAAGATGTACTGAGCATCAAGGGAACTCAGAGTGGTAATAAATCCATCATAAATTGCAGAAGCCATCGGATAACGGCTGTTCCTCACATTAGCATCCCATTAAGCTGCTATTAGTGATAGCAAGAAACTAAGGGAAACCAGCTTCCTGGGTTAGCACTAGCAGCTGGGAGAGAGTTAACAAGCTGCAATCCTTCGCTGGCACCTTTAAGGACCTGAGGTCCCTTTGTAAAGGATGGTTGGAGGGCCCAAACCTTGACCTATCACGCTCACGCTGCGGGAGTTTAGGGGGGTTGGAATTAATCACAGCAGGGACACAATTTACCGATCAATACCGGCCAATTAGAAGGCTCCCTGCTGGAGTGGTCCCTGGGAATGCCAGATGACCTCTGCCCTTGACTTTTTGTGGGGGCAGGTATTTCTTCATCACAGCCACCTATGAGGATGATGTTGGGGGTGCGTAGCTCATTACGCGTCATGCCAATCCCTGGGAGGGCATCTTGAGGTTGAGA